CCATACACACACTCTGCCCCCCCCGTACAAATACACTCTACACACATACACTATCCTCATACACACACTGTATGGACTCAGCAGTCTGTGTGTGTGTATGGACTCAGCAGTCTGTGTGTGTGTATGGACTCAGCAGTCTGTGTGTATGGACTCAGCAGTCTGTGTGTGTGTGTGTGTGTGTGTATGGACTCAACAGTCTGTGTGTATGGACTCAGCAGTCTGTGTGTATGGACTCAGCAGAGTGTGTGTATGTGTATGGACTCAGCAGTCTGTGTGTTTGTGTGGACTCAGCAGTCTGTGTGTGTGTATGGACTCAGCAGAGTCTGTGTGTGTATGGACTCAGCAGAGTCTGTGTGTGTGTGTGTATGGACTCAGCAGTGTGTGTGTGTGTGTATGGACTCAGCAATCTGTGTGTGTATGTGTATGGACTCAACAGTCTGTGTGTGTGTATGGACTCCGCAGTCTATCAATAATTAAAATTCCTGTGAGTTGTTGTGTAGGAAGGGCCCCAGTGCATTGCTTTGCCCAGGGCCCTTAACTCTGTTAAAATGGTACTGCTTGTGTGTGTCAGTGAGCTTCTATTTAGTGAGCATGTGTGTGTCAGTGAGCTTGTCTTTAGTGAGCTTGTGTGTGTGTGTCTGAACTTCTTTGTAGTGAGCCTTCTGTTTATACAAGTGAGTGTCTGTAGTAAGCTTGTGTGTGAGTCAGAGAGTTTTGTCTGTCAGTAAGCCTATTTGCGCATGTCAGTGAGCTTGTGTGCTTACTGTACTATATATATATATATATATATATATATATATATATATATATATATGACTTGTGGGAATGGCATACGTTTTTTTTCCAGGGCTGCTTTGGATTCCCAGGGATTCCCAGTTTGGCTCTGCCAGCGAGTGCACTTTACCGCTGAATAATCTGTGTGAGCTGCCGCACACTTTAGCCCTGTTACACGCGTCTGGGAGCTGCTGTTGACAGGTACTAGTAGTCTAGAGATTGGGGTATATGCTCAGCTATCTGTATAATACAGATCTGTGTGTATAAAATATCCCGGGATAGTCAGTGCTTCCTGTATAGTGCTGCTCTCTGTCTTGGGATATTATACACAAACAGACCTGTATTATACAGAGAGCAGCACTATACAGGGAGCACTGAATGTCCCAATTTATTATACACACAACCCTGTATTATACAGAGAGCACTGACTGTCCAGGGATATTATACCCAGACAGTAATTGATAGCTGTGCTGCAAAACGTCCTTGGAATTTTTTTCCAAATGTTGGCAACTATGGCACTGTATCAAGGATAATGTGTTTGTTTTTTTAATAATCCCTGGTGGAAAATAATGAATCCTCCACCAGGTATTATTAAAAAAACAAAACACATTGTGTCGGGGGCGTGGCTTAACATGCGACAGGGGCGGGGTCAAACTGCGATGAGGGCGGGGTTAAATGTGCCCCCCTACTTTTGGCACTGGCCCTCCATGTGCCCCCCCGAAAAATGAATCCTAGAGACGCCACTGGCTGTAGTACATCTTTTATTATTTTTAGTATTAGCAGATGTTGTAGGTTCTTTCTAATTTAAATAATAGTAATCTAAATTCTAGTTAACCCATTTAAAAACAAACACTTTTTATAATAATAATAATACAATAAACAAACAACTTTTTCTAATAAAAAAAATTTCATACTCTGCAGTAGTCAAGCAGGGAGCACTTGTTGGCAGACAGTGCAGTTTAGTTTTGCATAGTTTCTCAGTAAGCACTAGAGTGAAGAATTCTGCCTCAGTACTAGTCTCTATTTTTTTTAATATATTTTTTTAACTGTGTTGATCTATAAATCAGCATAGCTCAAAACTTTAAGTAATACGTTTTCATAAAAATATAACCTTTAGTTTCAAAATACTACATTACATTATCTCTTTTATTTCCTTTTCTTACTATTTTTCTAATTCTAAATGGATCCTCCTAAACATCCATTCACTAGTAAAGTGAGGGAGGGTCAGTCAACCACAACCACCACCACAAGTAGTACATACATACAAAGACACATACATAAGACACACATACATAGAGACACACAGACACACACACAAGCCACACATACATACAAAGACACACACACACACACACACACACACATACATACAAAGACACACACACACACATGACACACATACATACAAAGACAAATACACACAAACAAACACCTACCTTTTAGGTGCAGGAGGGTGACTGGGGTCCATTGATGGCTTAGGTGGATGGGAGTCAGAGTTCCCACTCTGACTCCCTGGTCTTTCTCCCGCGCGGCTCTCAGTGTTAGCTGGGAGGAGTGACGTGCGGTCACTTCCTCCCAGCTCTGTGTAATCACAGGGGGCCCGGTCGCACTGTTAAAGTGCCCAGCACTGACCGGGCCACCTTACAATCCATCTCCATCGGGTTGCCCTGACAGCCACCCGATGGACCCCTTGGATGGCAGCCCCAGTGATTTGCCGCGCGGGCCGGGCCGCAAAAGATAATGGCGGGTACCTGGTCTCAGGGGTCTGCAGGGCGGCCGGGCCCCCTGTAGTGACCGCGGTATGTACGCCGCTGCGTTGGTGCAAGATCCTGGTGAAGGAAAGGCACCAATAGCAGGCAGCAGTGCAGCAAGGCCCAGATCCGCAAGTCTTTTCTATGGTAAAGGGAAACCAGCAGGGCTTTTTAGGGTGAGCACTATGGCTAGTACTACTACTAAAAACACAACTAGTAGTAGTAGTAGCCCATTAAGTAGGAGGAAGAGAGTGTTTTGCCCCCAGCGTCTTACTCTACCACAAGCAGGCCTGTGAGTCGTGTTGCTAAGAAGCTTCCTTCTTGTACATGGAGGCTGTTTCCTAATCGCCCTACCAAGACCACCACTTCCTCCCTCACTCTGCAGTAAGCTGATCCCTTTTTTTAAGAGCCTGCCTGCTAATTGACAAGCTACAGGTGCGTATCAATCAGTTCACATCTCTGGAACTCCTAAGGTATATACAAGTTCTGGTCTGGCTGTTACATAGCAACTAGTGCTATTGGAGCACTGGACCACCCTGCTCTCCAAATGCTCCGCCCCAGCGTCCCTTACCGTGGTTTGCAGAGTACCAGCAATGCATCTTGCAAACCAAACATCTTTCCCTGGGGCATTTCATTGAGAAACCTCAGGCTGCTGTTTAGTAAATCAGGCCTAATATATCTTCCCTCAACAACCATTCCACATTTTGCACTGCACCTGGTAAGCAAATATGTTTTATTTCTTATAAATATGCACTAATTGCTGTACACTTTGTTCTGATCCTGATAAAGACCTGAATAGGTCAAAACGTTGATCTATTGAACTTTGAATTTATGGACACAGTACACTGAACACTTTTCAAACCCAGGAGTGCGCCTAATTATTCGTTATATGTTTTCGCTGGTTCCTTTGCACCCTGGTATGTATATATATATATAAAACAAGATAAACTAGACAGATATACAATTAGCTCTGCATCAAAAGTAAGTAAGTCAGCTGGATAAACTGCAGACTTTGCCTACACTTAATTGAAATACCATGAGCTATGTTAAGAAGTAGAAGGCCTAAATCTGCATCGATAGAATAAGAACTAATACAGATGGCATAGTAAGCATGGTTGCACATTGTAGGACTAACCACTAGTATTTAAACACTCCTATGGGTCACAATTGGTGTAGATAGAGATGAATCATGTCATGGGCTAGGGGCACTTTGCTTTGGGGTGATAGTCCCAGGTGGTGAATTACTTAGCCAATTGTTGTGATGTGTCAGGCAGTGTACCCCAGGCATCTTGGTGGGAGCCCTATTCATGAGTCATCGCCAAGAAGCAGGTGTGCTGCAGAACAGTGCTCTTCGTGACTGGGGTATTGAATCAAAAGGACTAGCGGCTCTGATACAGTGTGCCTCCCTGAGGTCCAGACAGTCTCTTCTTTTTGACATATAAGCACCGAGCAGCCTGAAGTTATCCACTTTTGGCACTCTGTCTCTTGAGGGACAGGAAAAGTTTCACTGTAAGGCAGGGCAGCCCTTCGTGGGCCTATTCGGTCGCACGTGCAGATGGTGAGTTGGAGTCGTGCCAGTTCCAGACGCTATGTTAGCAGGTGACTGCCCTAATGCTGGCATCCTTGCGACACTTCAGCCAGTCAAAGAAGGCATTGCATATGCTGTCAAAGGCTGCAAGAATGTCAAAACTGAGGCCTCACATGCCATTCAGATGGTAGCATGTAGTGTAAGGTGCTGGGATAGCCCTAACCATCAGGGAGTAAAAATGGGGCAGTTCACCGTGGTTTCCTTTAGTGAAACTTGGATTTAGGGATCAGATGCCTTCCTCTCTCCCATATCACCAGACTGCAGCTAGGCCTCGGGATTGCCTCAGTGAGTTGACAAGCAAATAAAGTGGTATCGGCTTCCAAAAGCACAAATTAGGAGCGCCAAGTTAGTATCAAGTTGGCAAGGTTAGACTTTACCAATTTAGCTTGGTAAAAGTAATCTTAAAGGACTAAATTGCAAGAAAACAACAGGAGCTCCTGCAGTGTGCGACTGCTCTCTGCTGGTCAGGTCCTGCCCCGTAATCCACAGTTCATGCTTTAGGCCTATATGCCAATCTAGGATCTTTTGTAATACAGCTGCCTGGTGGGACTTGCACATGTCAGGTAGGACTAAGCCGCCCCTTGATCGAGGAAGGCACAAGAGGTCATGGCGGAGTCTTGGTCTCTCCCCTCCCTATACATATTGAATAATGGAAGAACATAGTTAGTTATCACCTGGAACATGTATAACAATCTGGGCAGAATCTTAATAACCACTATGCGGCCGAACCATAATAAGTTTTAGAAGTTCCACTTCTTCAGATCTTTTTGAATGTGTTGGAGGAGCGGCATAAAATTACGATGGTAAAGGTCGGCTAGATCACCCAAGACATTTATTCCCAGATATTTCATAAGAAGGGAAAGTGTGATCGAAGTGACAGCCAGTCGTTGTCATCAGCAGATAAATTAAAGACCTAGCATTTAGTGAGGTTAAGTTTAAAACTGCAGATAAGTCCGTACCATGAGAGCTCAGACATAGGGCATGTCAGAGTGATGTGGGGTTTAGTGATAAAAAAATTATTAATCATCTGCATTGGCCGTGACTTTGTGCTGATGACACTTATGACTGGGTCCATTGTCAGCACAAATATCAGAGGTGAGAGTGGACACCCCTGTCTGGTCCTGTTTTGGATCTGAAACGTCACTGTCAGAGCTCTGTAGACTTGCACATGAACATTAGGACAACTATATAAAGTCTTAATCCGGGACAAGAGTTTTTCACCAAATCTCATGGTATAGAGCAGTGTTTCCCAACCCAGTCCTCAAGGCACACCTACCAGTCCATGATTTAGGGATTACCCAGTTGTGTCTAAGGTGTTTTTTTTCTTCTTTGTAAAAACACCTTAGACATAACTGGGTAATCCCTAAATCCTGGACTGGTAGGTGTGCCTTGAGGACTGGATTGGGAAACACT